GTGGGTCCCGAGTCCTCTTAGGAGTCTCCTTGGAGCCCGAGTCCATGCTCTGACCCGTTGGTGGGGTTGGCGAGGGTGCTGGTGATCTGGCTCCCTATCCGGCAGTTGGCGTGGCGATCTTGCCAGTGCCGAACTACCCACGAAGGGGTTTCCTTCCTCCATTTCTCGCTTCTCGGTCTGCACTAGGAGGCTCCCGCGCAGGCCTCGGATTTCCCCTTGGCGTATTGATGGGGGATATACCGCCCCTCCACGGTCCCCGACGTTCCGTTGACCGGAACACCGCCTGAGCGGGGGATCGGAGAGTGGTCGGTTCCGTGACCTTTCCCTCGCGCCCCCTGTGCTGCCTTGATAAGCCTCGAAGTATGCACTGCTGTGCCTGCCGCGCGCTCAGCCTATGGGTATGCAAGACTCTGCAGGATCGTGCAAGATCGTGCAAATCTGACAGCTTCTGCTTGCTACGATGAAGTGGTAGCCGATATTGCCAGCTGGAGGACTTGTGCGCTTTCCAACACTGACTGATCAGTCAGCTGCTTGTGCGAAGAGCAAACAATACAAAATTGCAAAATTGCGCGTGGAAAATTGTCAATTGTTGTTGGCCCGGCTAAGAAAGAGCGAGGAGCTGTGTGTGGGTGACCCCTCCGCCCCTCCCCGCAGGATGGAGCAACGTTTTTTAGCCTGACAATCCCTCAGGGCTTTCCCCTGGAGCGTGTGCCTGACTCGGTACGTACCCCTTCCCTTTGGGCACCTGTTGTTCACTTTTGCCCTATTTTTAGCTGGATCTTCGCTTCTAAATTTGCTTGGACACTGGAGGAAACTTATACGCGTCCGTTCACTTTCGACACTTTCGACACTCCCCTCAGGTAGTGCTAGGAATGTACGAGTGTGTGTGCTCTCCAGGTCAGAGGGACCCTGCTGACGACTTGGGGTGATTGTGTCAACGAACTAATGAGCGAATTCTTTCCAAGGGCAGAGCGAGAGGTTTCCCCCCCAAGTGAAACTGGCCCTTCTGAGCCGCTCCTAGCGGGTGAGTTAGAGGTGGCTTTCTCGATGCTAAAGTCGAGGAAATCGCCTGGTATGGATGGTTTTACAGGTGAAATGGCCAAGAGTGTGTGGAAGTCCATTCCAGACTACATGTACGAGCTGTTTTCAGGATGTGTGAGCGATGGCTACTTCCCTTGGAAATGGAAACGTGCGAGAGTGTTTGTACTCTTAAAGTCGCCTGATAGGATCAGAAGCAATCCTCGGTCTTTTCGGGGCATTAGTCTCCTTCCGGTTCTTGGCAAAGTTCTGGAGAGGGTTTTGGTAGAAAGGCTGCAGGAGAGAGTGAGTGACCAGATGTCTGACAGGCAATTTGGTTTTATGAAGGGTAGGTGCGTTGAGGACGCTTGGAGATATGTTTGCCACTCAGTGGAGTCCAGTAATTCCAAGTATGTTCTGGGTGTTTTTGTGGACTTTAAGGGTGCTTTCGACTACCTGAGTTGGGACAGTGTGGTTCGCAGGTTAGGGGAATGTGGGTGTCGGGATTTGGCTCTCTGGAGGAGTTATTTCTCCGGAAGATGTGCAACTGTTGTGGGGCTGAATGAGAGTGTGAGTGTAGACGTGGTTCGTGGTTGCCCACAGGGGTCTATTTGTGGACCATTCATTTGGAACCTTATGATGGATACTTTGTTGGGTCAGCTTGAGCGTACCTACATGTGTTGTGCATATGCGGATGATCTGCTCATCTTGGTTGAGGGGCGGTCGCGCGATGAGATTGAGACAAATGCTGGAGTGTGCTTGCGCACTGTTCGCGAATGGGGCGATAGTGTCGGCGTCGGATTGGCAATGGACAAAATGGTGACAATGTTGCTGAAAGGCCGGTTGGCTATCAGTCGACATCCTGTTGTAAGGCTAGATGGCGTTAGCTTAAAGTATGTCACGGAGGTAAAATACCTCGGCATAACTTTTGGGTGAGAGGATGTGTTTCACTCCTCATATCACTGGTCTCAGGAGGCGGCTGTTAGGTGTGGTTGGACAAGTGCGCCGAATTTTGCGGAATGAGTGGGGTCTTAGCAAGAAGGCTGTGCGAACCATATATGGGGGTCTGTTTGTTGCTTGCGCAACGTATGGATCTTCGGTGTGGTGTAGTGCGGCTTTGAGTGTTTTGGGCAGAAGGAAAGTGCTGGCTTGCCAGAGAGTGATTTTGCTTGGATGTTTGCCGGTGTGCCGCACTGTTTCCACTGAGGCAATGCAGGTGCTTTGTGGTGCAGTCCCTCTTGACTTGGAGATACGGCGTCGTGCCGTACGCTACATGATTAAGAAGCGTATTCCATTGTTGCAGAATGAATGGTTAGCTGATAGGAACGTGGAGAGCTTAGGGACTAGAGAGTGCAAGGTTTTGTTGGACGAATGCGTCCTCTCTGAGTGGCAAGCTAGATGGGATAACAGTGAGAATGGACGAGTTACTTACCAGTACATTCGTGATGTCACGTTTGTTAGCTGCCGACCAGACTTTGATTTTAACCTTAGTTCTGGGTTCCTTTTAACTGGTCACGGCTCTCTCAATGCATTCCTGTATTCGAGGTGCCTGCGTGATAGTCCGGAATGCCATTGTGGCTCGAGTGAGGAGACATGGAAACATGTTCTTTGTGAGTGCCCGCTGTATGACGATCTTCGGGATCTTGGTGAGTTGGGTGTTGTTAAGGATAGTGGTGAGTTTGACGTTAGTCAAATGTTCTCCACAGTAGATAGGGTTTGTAGTTTTAATGAGTATGCAAGGGCTGTATTTTCTAGACGACGCTTGGTGGTTTCCTGAGGGAATGGTATGTTTTTTGTATGTTTTCCTGTGTGTAGGAAAGTGGATCTTTGTGTGGTCCGGGGGCCACCAGTCCCCATGCTTCATGGAGCTATACTGGAAGTACTTAGTACGAGCCTGACCAGAGGATTTTCTGGAACCACGGGCGATTGGGATTCACAGAGGCGGTGTTAGCCCTCTGCCTTTTCGTTACATCCTTAGGGATCGTTGGGGACATTTGCTGGCCGCCTTTGCGGTTTGACAGAGATCAACTTAAATGCCGCTATTGCGGAAGAGGAAGGAATAGTCCTCGCTCCCACCAGTGAGAAAACCATGTCCATGAGCGTGGCGGATACTGTTTTCCACCTGTGAGCCGGTGTATTCCGGCTTGCATTCTATTCCGAGCAGCTATGTCTTAACTTTGGGTCACCAACCCTTGACTGTTTTGGAGTCAGAATTGGAAGTGTCATTCGTGGCACGAAGTCTGACCGGAGACTAATTTCTGGTACCACGGGAGCCAGAGCCCGCGGAACTTGTTCCGTCCTGGCTATGGTTGCGGCCCTTCGGGGAGCTTCGTGGTGGCTGTGGTTAAACACCCAAAGCGGGTAGAGCTGCTAGGCTCGGCGTGGAGTTGCGCTCTCAACCGGGTGCTGTGACCCACAGATCGGCAGAGGTTTAGATAGCCTCGCTCCCACCAGGAGGAAGACATACCAAAACAGATTGGCTTCAACTGGTACCGGCGGAAAGTGGATCCAATGGGGCGCCGATTGACGCTTAAATCAATCCTGTGCATGGCACCGTGAAATTAAGCCAATACGGCAGGTGTTCACGTAAAACACATTGACTTTAATGTCCCTATCCACTCAGTTTGTTTCTGACAGTCGTTTAGAGCAGATGTGTTTTTCTCCGTTGTCGCTTGCTGATAACGAAAACGTTTTTTCGGTATTCTTCTTTGTGCGGTGCTTCGTACGTCGCAGTGAAAACAAGTTTAGGGCGCTAGTGCGTGTGTGTGTGTGTGTGCAAAACGGTTCTTTTGTTTACCTTTTTGCGCTTATCGCTAGGTGAGTTTTTGGAAGGTGGCTGGCATGCCGCCGAAAAAGAAGAATTCTGTGCCTTTGGAGAGGTCTGGTTCTGATGAGGAACTGGGTGCTTCTGGGTCATCAGAAATGAAGAGGAAGGGGAAGCTAGTTGAGCGGCTAAAGAGGGCAACATCGGAAGCTGACATAGCCAAGCTGACCCAGGAGGGCGCGTGTGGTGCCTCCCAAGGTGCCTTTGGAGACCAGGGTGTAGGTGAAGTAAAAGTGGGCGAGGCTCCCACTGTGGCGGCGGCTGTAGTGCCGCAATTTGTGGTTCCTGAACTGCCAAAGACGCAAGTGAACAACACTGTGGAAAGAATGCAGGCCATTAGCCAGCATGTTTTGATGGTAGCATTGGACGCTGGTGCGACTGCGGAGGTTACATGTAGTCTGGTAGGCTGCAGTAATCAGTACGAGGCGCTCATTTTTTCGCTTATTGCGGAAAACGAGCGTCTGCGAGGCCGTATGGAGGCCATCCGTCCGATGGCGGTTGGTGGTCCAGCGCCGGTTTTGCCGGCGGTCGCCCCCTCTTTTGGAGGCCCGGTGGTGGCTTTGTCACCCCCTTTGGAGCCGCGACCAGTTAACACCTGGTCCTTAGTGGTACGAAGCAAGAACGCAGAAATGCCCGCGAAGGACGTGGTCGAGAAGGTTGTGAAGGAGGTGGGGCCATCCTTGGGGGTACGCGTGCATGAGGTTAAGCCTCGCCGAGATGGCAGTGTCATTATTCGCACGCCGTCTGTTGCCGAGCGGAAAAAAATTGCGGACAATGCAAAGTTCGATGAAGTTGGGCTGACTGTGATGGTCAATGAAAAGATGGGGCCCAGAGTGGTTGTTCATGGTGTCAACAGGCTGATTACCTGGCTTACCTGGCTTGTTTAGCAGCAGCAGTTTCTGCCTCTTCCACCTGGATGGGAAGGTACCTTCTTCGAGGCACTTGTTGAAAACCTCCACGAAGGCAGATGGCTGAAGTGCTAGTGCCACTTTCAGCGCTCGGTTTGGGATTGCGTCGGGGCCAGGGGCTTTTTTCCTGTGTAGGCTCCTCCCGGCTTCCAGCACCTCTTCTTCCGTGACCTTTACTATGCCCGTGAACGGACCAGGGCGTATCCTCGGTCTTAGCCCCGTATGCTGCGCGCTTGGGAATAATGCGTGCACTATGGCCTCGAGCGCGTCGGGTTCAGTTGGCGCCTTGCTCCCTGCACAGAGCTTCTTCGCCACGAGCTTGTAGGCCCTGCCCCGGGGTCTTTATCCGCCGAGTCGCACAGCTTGAGGAAACATTCGCGTTTGCTGCTTCGTATCGCCTTTTTCAGGGCTTTCCTGGCGGACCCGTACTCTTCCAGTGCCGAGTCGAGTCGGGCCGTACGTCTCGCTCTCTGCATTGCTCGCCTGGCCTTCATGCACATTGTCCGGAGTCGTGCGATTTCCGGGGTCCACCAGGCAATCGGCTCGTGGTGCCTCGTGAACGGCTTACGCTGCCTCATGCTCGAGTCGCAGGCCTCCTCCATTCTCGTGGCGAGAAGGTTGGCTGCCTCGTTGGCGCTTGCATCGAGTGTGTCATGCCACGACTCCAGGCACCTGGCGATCGCTCTGGTGTCGAGCGTGTCCTCGATGTAGGCCTTGCTCCTGCAGTATGTTCTGCTAGGTCTGAGGCGCTCTCCGATGGTGCACAGTATGGCTTCGTGGTCGCTTCCTGTGTACACATTTGCCATTTGCCACCTAGCTTCGCGTGAGAGCGACGGGCTCGAGAACGTGAGGTCTATGATGGAGCCTCCGCTCGCCCTGCTGAATGTTTGCTGGGTGCCTTCGTTCAGCAAAGCTAGGTCCAGCGATGCAAACGCTTCCAATAGGGAACGGCCTCTTGCGTTGGTAGATTGGCAGCCCCACTCCTGTGCCCACGCATTGTAATCCCCGGCGATCAGTACGTTTGTACGGCTCCGTGCATCGTCGACAATTTCCTCGATGATCCGGTTGAAGGAATCGAGGAGTAGACTGGGCGCTAGATAGCAGCTGTAGGTCCACAAGTTCCCAACTTTCGCACGCACGTACCCGTTTCCTGCCTTGATGTTGCAGAGCTTGGGGGGGTCGCTTCCGCAGGCCCACAGGGATGCCTTCCCAGTCGAGTCTGAGGCCCAGTGCCTGGTGTCGCACGCTTTGTATGGTTCGCTAAGTATGGCAAGGTCCGATCCACATTCCCTCACCGTCTGCGCCAGGAGATCCTGCGCGGCTCTGCAGTGGTTCAGGTTCAGCTGGATTACCCGCATGTCGGTCTGGCGTTTCCGACCCCGCTGCTTAGGGCTGGACAGCTTCTGCTGCCGGCCTGATGCCTGACCTCCTTCCTACCAGCTGTCGAGCAGATGAAGCACAATGGCTCGTTGCTGCACTCTGCTGCCTTGTGACCCTGTTGTCCGCATTTAATGAGCATCCGCTCCGGTCAACCGTGCTCTTGCAGTTGCTTGCAATATGCCCTGGCTCCAAGCATCTGAAGCACCTTGGGGGGCCTCCTCTTTCCCCTATCTTGCAGACTGTCCAGTCGATCCGCACCTCACCGCACTGTATAACTGCTTTGCCCATGGAGAAGGGTAAGCTGATCACTGCCGTCTGTGACTCTGCATAGCCACGGCGTAGTCTCCTCACTCTGACTCGTCCCTCGTCTATTCCAAACTGGCTCGCGAGGGCGGCGCAGATCTCACGCTCCGTCGCGAGGGAGTCGAGATCGCGTATCTCCAGCACGGCCACCTTGTTGTCCTCCGTCGCCGCCCGCACTGACGCAGCGTCACCGAGGACCCGCGCGATGCTCTCTCTCATGGACTCAGCGCTCTCAGCACTGCCTTTAGCCACTTCCAGCAGAAGGTTGCCGTTTTGTGTACGGCGTACCTTTGTAACGCAGCTCCCCAGGTCCGACAGCTGCTTGTCCTCCCTCCTAGTCACCATTGCCAGCACCTCACTGTAGGATTTTCCGCACGCCTGCACGATGACCGCGTCGGGACGTACGCGGCGTACGGTCCTCGCCTTTTTTGCCACTACGGTCCATCCTTTGTCCGGGTGTTCGTTGGTCACGGACTTACTGGTGGCACTATGGGTCGTCTCCTCTTCTTGCGGCCGCATTTGGGGCTTCCTCACGGCCCTCTTGGATGCTCTGGCGCCATGCCGCTGGTCTGTACCCGTGAGTGGCGAACTCGGCTCCGCTGCCGTTGCTTCCGCTCCGGTCGGCTGGCTTAGCCTTCGCCACGGCTCGGTCTGCGCTGCGGCATTCTTTGTCCAGACGGTTGCCGTCTGCTGCCCCTTTTCCTCGCTCTGCGTCCTCTGTGAGCATTTTGCGCACAAGGCTTCGACTACGTGGCCTTGCTGCCCGCCGTCTCCATTCGATGTGGCTGCTCGTCTCTCCTCCTGGATGCTCGAGTGCAGCTCCTTCATACGCACGAAACATTGCCCTCGTGGCAATGGTGATGTGGCGCGAGGTTTTGTCCATCATCCTGATCGTCACCTCGTCCAGGAGTTTCCCTAGCTCTGAGAGGTTCTCGAGGCAGGTTGCGTCATGTGTGGCCTTGCTTTTCTTGGGCGGCGTCTTTCTCTGCGAGCTAGCTGGGCTAAGAGGGTCCCGAGTCCTCTTAGGGGTCTCCTTGGAGCCCGAGTCCATGCTCTGACCCGTTGGTGGGGTTGGCGAGGGTGCTGGTGATCGGCTGAGCTTACTGCCCTTCCCGAATGCCGATGCGGCCTCCTCTGGCTCCCTATCCGGCAGTTGGCGTGGCGATCTTGCCAGTGCCGAACTACCCACGAAGGGGTTTCCTTCCTCCATTTCTCTCTTCTCGGTCTGCACTAGGAGGCTCCCGCGCAGGCCTCGGATTTCCCCTTGGCGTATTGATGGGATATACCGCCCCTCCACGGTCCCCGACGTTCCGTTGACCGGAACACCGCCTGAGCGGGGGATCGGAGAGTGGTCGGTTCCGTGACCTTTCCCTCGCGCCCCCTGTGCTGCCTTGCTAAGCCTCGAAGTATGCACTGCTGTGCCTGCCGCGCGCTCAGCCTATGGGTATGCAAGACTCTGCAGGATCGTGCAAGATCGTGCAAATCTTGCTCCCTGACAGCTGCTGGTTGCTACGATGAAGTGGTAGCCGATATTGCCAGCTGGAGGACTTGTGCGCTTTCCAACACTGACTGATCAGTCAGCTGCTTGTGCGGAGAGCAAACAATACAAAATTGCAAAATTGCGCGTGGAAAATTGCCATTGTTGTTGGCCCGGCTAAGAAAGAGCGAGGAGCTGTGTGTGGGTGACCCCTCCGCCCCTCCCCGCAGGATGGAGCAACGTTTTTTAGCCTGACAATCCCTCAGGGCTTTCCCCTGGAGCGTGTGCCTGACTCGGAACGTACCCCTTCCCTTTGGGCACCTGTTGTTCACTTTTGCCCTATTTTTAGCTGGATCTTCGCTTCTAAATTTGCTTGGACACTGGAGGAAACTTATACGCGTCCGTTCACTTTCGACACTTTCGACACTCCCCTCAGGTAGTGCTAGGGAATGTACGAGTGTGTGTGCTCTCCAGGTCAGAGGGACCCTGCTGACGACTTGGGTGGATTGTGTCAACGAACTAATGAGCGAATTCTTTCCAAGGGCAGAGCGAGAGGTTTCCCCCCCAAGTGAAACTGGCCCTTCTGAGCCGCTCCTAGCGGGTGAGTTAGAGGTGGCTTTCTCGATGCTAAAGTCGAGGAAATCGCCTGGTATGGATGGTTTTACAGGTGAAATGGCCAAGAGTGTGTGGAAGTCCATTCCAGACTACATGTACGAGCTGTTTTCAGGATGTGTGAGCGATGGCTACTTCCCTTGGAAATGGAAACGTGCGAGAGTGTTTGTACTCTTAAAGTCGCCTGATAGGATCAGAAGCAATCTCGGTCTTTTCGGGGCATTAGTCTCCTTCCGGTTCTTGGCAAAGTTCTGGAGAGGGTTTTGGTAGAAAGGCTGCAGGAGAGAGTGAGTGACCAGATGTCTGACAGGCAATTTGGTTTTATGAAGGGTAGGTGCGTTGAGGACGCTTGGAGATATGTTTGCCACTCAGTGGAGTCCAGTAATTCCAAGTATGTTCTGGGTGTTTTTGTGGACTTTAAGGGTGCTTTCGACTACCTGAGTTGGGACAGTGTGGTTCGCAGGTTAGGGAATGTGGGTGTCGGGATTTGGCTCTCTGGAGGAGTTATTTCTCCGGAAGATGTGCAACTGTTGTGGGGCTGAATGAGAGTGTGAGTGTAGACGTGGTTCGTGGTTGCCCACAGGGGTCTATTTGTGGACCATTCATTTGGAACCTTATGATGGATACTTTGTTGGGTCAGCTTGAGCGTACCTACATGTGTTGTGCATATGCGGATGATCTGCTCATCTTGGTTGAGGGGCGGTCGCGCGATGAGATTGAGACAAATGCTGGAGTGTGCTTGCGCACTGTTCGCGAATGGGGCGATAGTGTCGGCGTCGGATTGGCAATGGACAAAATGGTGACAATGTTGCTGAAAGGCCGGTTGGCTATCAGTCGACATCCTGTTGTAAGGCTAGATGGCGTTAGCTTAAAGTATGTCACGGAGGTAAAATACCTCGGCATAACTTTTGGTGAGAGGATGTGTTTCACTCCTCATATCACTGGTCTCAGGAGGCGGCTGTTAGGTGTGGTTGGACAAGTGCGCCGAATTTTGCGGAATGAGTGGGGTCTTAGCAAGAAGGCTGTGCGAACCATATATGGGGGTCTGTTTGTTGCTTGCGCAACGTATGGATCTTCGGTGTGGTGTAGTGCGGCTTTGAGTGTTTTGGGCAGAAGGAAAGTGCTGGCTTGCCAGAGAGTGATTTTGCTTGGATGTTTGCCGGTGTGCCGCACTGTTTCCACTGAGGCAATGCAGGTGCTTTGTGGTGCAGTCCCTCTTGACTTGGAGATACGGCGTCGTGCCGTACGCTACATGATTAAGAAGCGTATTCCATTGTTGCAGAATGAATGGTTAGCTGATAGGAACGTGGAGAGCTTAGGGACTAGAGAGTGCAAGGTTTTGTTGGACGAATGCGTCCTCTCTGAGTGGCAAGCTAGATGGGATAACAGTGAGAATGGACGAGTTACTTACCAGTACATTCGTGATGTCACGTTTGTTAGCTGCCGACCAGACTTTGATTTTAACCTTAGTTCTGGGTTCCTTTTAACTGGTCACGGCTCTCTCAATGCATTCCTGTATTCGAGGTGCCTGCGTGATAGTCCGGAATGCCATTGTGGCTCGAGTGAGGAGACATGGAAACATGTTCTTTGTGAGTGCCCGCTGTATGACGATCTTCGGGATCTTGGTGAGTTGGGTGTTGTTGAGGATAGTGGTGAGTTTGACGTTAGTCAAATGTTCTCCACAGTAGATAGGGTTTGTAGTTTTAATGAGTATGCAAGGGCTGTATTTTCTAGACGACGCTTGGTGGTTTCCTGAGGGAATGGTATGTTTTTTGTATGTTTTCCTGTGTGTAGGAAAGTGGATCTTTGTGTGGTCCGGGGGCCACCAGTCCCCATGCTTCATGGAGCTATACTGGAAGTACTTAGTACGAGCCTGACCAGAGGATTTTCTGGAACCACGGGCGATTGGGATTCACAGAGGCGGTGTTAGCCCTCTGCCTTTTCGTTACATCCTTAGGGATCGTTGGGGACATTTGCTGGCCGCCTTTGCGGTTTGACAGAGATCAACTTAAATGCCGCTATTGCGGAAGAGGAAGGAATAGTCCTCGCTCCCACCAGTGAGAAAACCATGCCCATGAGCGTGGCGGATACTGTTTTCCACCTGTGAGCCGGTGTATTCCGGCTTGCATTCTATTCCGAGCAGCTATGTCTTAACTTTGGGTCACCAACCCTTGACTGTTTTGGAGTCAGAATTGGAAGTGTCATTCGTGGCACGAAGTCTGACCGGAGACTAATTTCTGGTACCACGGGAGCCAGAGCCCGCGGAACTTGTTCCGTCCTGGCTATGGTTGCGGCCCTTCGGGGAGCTTCGTGGTGGCTGTGGTTAAACACCCAAAGCGGGTAGAGCTGCTAGGCTCGGCGTGGAGTTGCGCTCTCAACCGGGCGCTGTGACCCACAGATCGGCAGAGGTTTAGATAGCCTCGCTCCCACCAGGGAGGAAGACATACCAAAACAGATTGGCTTCAACTGGTACCGGCGGAAAGTGGATCCAATGGGGCGCCGATTGACGCTTAAATCAATCCTGTGCATGGCACCGTGAAATTAAGCCAATACGGCAGGTGTTCACGTAAAACACATTGACTTTAA